GTAGGGAAAACCCCGCAGCATTCCACCGCTGGGGACTGCAATTTTTGTTGCTCAGGCGCAGAGGGGGGTGATGGGGTAGTGAGCTAGGAACAAACAGGTTCCCTGCTTTGTGTGTGTCCTGGCTCTGACCCCGTGGCCTGGGCCACAGGGCTGGCCTCCTTAGCCTGCTCTGAGACCGTGCAAAGGCCCTCCCGATGTTTGGACTGGAAAGCGCTGGGTGGACTCCTGTAATTTGAGCGCACCATCTGTTTCTATGACCTCATCTCCTCTTTCAGGGAGCTACAGCCAGGCACTTGTATCCCTGCCAGAATGAAACAAACATGGCCTGCTGCCCCCACAGCGCCTCACACCTGCCCCCTCCGGGCTAGTCGGTCCTAAAGGCGAAACATTCACCCCACATTTCCCCCTGTCATGCAGGGCTGGACAGAGGGGAATCAGCTAGTTATGGGGAACATCCAGACTGAGCAGCTGGGGGGGGGGCTGTGGGCTGGGACTGAGGGGCTTTAGCAGAGCCCCACATGAGAACCCCAGTCCTGGAGTAGCGGGGGGGTTGGATGTCGAGAGAGGGCACCGGCAGGCCTGTGTGAGAGCTCAGGGCTAGAAAAGAAGAGGGGGCTGCAGTTGCTATTGAGGACTGGATTGAGCAGGGTCAGGGCGGCTCTGGGGCTGGGCTAGCGGGGTAGAGCTGGACTGAAGGCCAGGAGAGCTGGGAAGCAGAAGCCCAGCACTGGATCGGCAGACAGGGTGCAGCAGGTAAGGGTGGAGGAGCATCGGCAGAGCTGAGCGTGGGGAGCCCCTGGACTGAGTATCGGAGTGTTGGGATCCAGGACTCTGTATACCGAATGGGGAGCGTGAGGCCTAGAGAGAGACTTGCATAGGATCTCACAAGGAGTCAGCTGGAAAACTGCTAGCAGAACCTGGAAGTCCTGCCTGCTGGTTCTGGGCATTAGCACAAGAGCTGGGCCAAGCCTCCCTTCCTTTTACATAGTTTAGATGCATTTCCACATCGAAGGCCATGCAATGGACACGTCCAGCCTACATAATTAGTCTCGTTAACACGGGTCCTACAACTGACAGGTACTTCTGCTGCTGTTCTATATAGCTCTTGGTTTCTGTTATTTCCACTCCAATCCATCTGAGGAAGTGGGCTTTGCCCACAAAAGCTCGTGAGTCTATATATTTTGGTTAGCCACCTTGTCTGCTTAGTAGCTCATTATGGCTGCAGTCGAACCGGCAGCTCCCCTGTCTGTGTCTCCAGAGGGCACGGGTACAAGCGACAAACCAAAGAAAGAAATGGATCCCACCCATCTTCCGGCCCAAATGCAAAGAGAGGCCAGGTGACCCCCATCTCAGTCGGACAGCCCTTGGCAATTAACGTTCCCCGAGAGCTTTGTGCTCCTGTCTGTTGCCCTTTGGGGGAACTCACTGTAATTGCCTCCCCTCACTAATTCTGACCCTCTCCAGGTGTCCCCCTCTCCCACTACAGCTCTGCATTTCTATATCAAAAGCATCAAGAATCACCAGGCCTTTCCCTCCTCCCACGACTCTCTGACGTTATTTCCCTATTCCCCTGTTGATTATTTGCAGCTGCTTTCCAAGATTGGACTTCTCTGTGTCTGGTGGGCTTGGGCATATGCCCCTCTACACTAATGCCAGGGCTGGTACAGTAACGCTGCTTGGTTTATGGACACTGGGGTATCTGAGGGCTGAGAGCACAACGCTTTCTCCCTGACTGCCTTCTGAAACGTCCTCCCACTGTGCCCTCTGTTCTCCCTTCGTCCCTCCCGGTGTGCTTTATTGGGCCTGGAGGGGGCTGTCCACACGGCAGCCAGCAGCAAGCTTCCCAGCCCAGACAGGCAGACCTGCGCTAGCAAGCTAAAAAGAGCAGTGTGGACGTTCTGGCTCCAGCACACACTCGGGAGTCTCCACCTCACCTAGATTTCAGAGCCCAAGCCCCGGCCGAAGCCAGAATGCCCATGGAGCTACTTTTAGAACCCTAGTGAGCAGGTCTTTCCACCTGGGTTGGGGACTCGCTCCCAACTCTATCCTGGCTTCGTGGTTGATGGACACAGGGCTGGCGCTGTGAAACATAGCAGCCCCCCTCGCCCCCAGCCCCGGTCTGCAGTGACTGTTCGGAGGCTCAGAAAGAAATCAGACGAATGACAAAAGCAGCTTGGGGGAAGTGGCTTTTTTCCAGCTGACACAAAGGGGCTTCATTTGCCACAGGGCTTCAGCCTCTCTGGGTACTGCGAGGGGGAGTGAAGGGGTGGATTCATTCCATTGTGAGGGAAGGGAAGAAAGCTGGTTTGTTACCCCTTCCCCTGCCCACGACGAGGGCGATGGAATGGCCCTGGCTGTGGAATAACTGCTGGTTTGAGTTACTGCAAAGATCTACATGGCATGAAAACTGAGAGGGTGACTCCCAAATATCCTTCCTGCTAAGGGACAGAGCTCACTCTAGGCCCAAAGTCACCTGTGTGCTGTGCAAATATGCTCTGGCTTGTAGGGATGCAAATAATTGATACCAGAGCTGCAGGATCAGTGGCTCTGCGGTTCTAGAGAGTGTTATTTCCATGCAAGGAAGAGAGGTGCTGCAGTGCGGTGGATAGGGCACTGAAGTGGGGCTCCAAAGAATCTCCATTACTTATTAGCAGTAGAAGGGCTATGACACACAATTGAGCAGTTCTGATTCCATGCAGTAGAGGACAGGGCAAACACACTCCGACACACACAAACACACATACGCAATACACGTGGTTTTGCTCCCTGGAGGTGGCCCGGTGGGCAAGTGTCTTTTCCATTGGTCTGGGGAATAACTGGGCATCTGGATGCCTTTCTGAGCCCTTGTGGCTTTTACTCCTCTGCAGACTACAGAGTCTATGCAGCTGGCGGGATGGGACTGGACCTGAGGCCTCACAACTATATGCAGCACTACGACATGCTCAAGGACATCTGGGTGTCGCTCGCGGCCATGCCCACGCCCAGGTACGCCGCTACCTCCTTCCTGCGGGGCTCCAAGATCTACGTGCTCGGTAAGGATGGGCAATGGCTGCTTCCCTCCTTGATCTTCGGTGGGGGGGTCTGCTTGGGCAGTAGCAGCTCTGACCTGTGTATGCCTAGGAAGCTGAGGGGGAGAATTCCTAGAATAGACCCAGTGATAGAGATGTAGCCGTGTTAGTCTGGGGTAGCTTTTCATATTTGTTCATTTTTTTTAATTGTATCCTTTGGTATATATGGTTGTGACTACTTTCTTCCACTATTTGATCTGAGGAAGTGGGTCTGGCCCACGAAAGCTCATCACCTAATAAACCATCTTGTTAGTCTTTAAAGTGCTACATTGTCCTGCATTTTGCTTCGGTGACAATACTGTGATCCTCCTAAAATAACCTTGTGATCCCTTGGCAACCTCCTTTTGGGTCAAGATCCCTAATTTGAGAAACACTGCTCTCCCCCATGAAATCTGTGTGGTATACGGTACAAGCACATAAAGGGCCAGATTTCATGGGAGGACACCAGATCTCATGGTTATTTAGTGGAAAACCCAATTTTCCATTGAAAAATGGTTCAGATGGAAAGTTTCTGACTAGCCCCGTTTACAATGTAATCTAAGACTGAGGCATCCAGCGAATGCGGCAGATGAAAGCAGAGAAGGGAGGAGAGGGGTAATGATAATAATGTGGCTATGTAAGTTCCTTTGTATGCTTCTGTATTGTTTGAGACCCACCTCACTCCTTTCAGCCGCCAGGTAAGCTACTCCCAGTTAGCTGGTGCTTTTACCTGTGTGGAAAGCGACTGTTTAGGAAGGAGTACGGCAGAAAGGGAGCTAGGGGGTCATAGTGGACCACAAGCTAAATATGAGTCAACAGTGCGACGCTTGCAAGAAAAGCAAACATGATTCTGGGATGCATTAACAGGTGTGTTGTGAGCAAGACATGAGAAGTCATTCTTCTGCTCTACTCTGCGCTGATTAGGCCTCAGTTGGAGTATTGTGTCCAGTTCTGGGCACCACATTCTGTATTGCTTGATCCAGAGAAGAGCAACAAAAATGATGAAAGGTCTAGAAAACCTGAGCTAAGAGGGAAGAATAAAAGAATAGGGTTTGTTTAGTTTAGAAAAGAGAAGACTGAGAGGGGACATGATAGCGGATTTCAAGTATCTAAAAGGATGTTACAAGGAGGAGAGAGAAAAATGGTTCTTCTTGACCTCTGAGGATAGAACAAGAAGCAATGGGCTTAAATTGCAGCAAGGGAGGTTTAGGTTGGACATTAGGAAAAACTTCCTAACTGTCAGGCTGGGTAAACACTGGAATAAATTGCCTAGGGAGGTTGTGGAATCTCCATCACTGGAGATATTTAAGAGGAGGTTAGACAGACACCTGTCAGGGATGATCTAGACCAGCAGTTCCCAACCTTTTCCAGATGGGGACCCATTTTGACAATTCAGGAAAACTTGGTGACCCAAGGCAATTAAAAAATGGGGGGAGGGGGGGGGGCTGAGCCACCTGGGGAGACACTTGGCAACCCTTTTGAAATGTAATGGCAACCCATATTTGGGTCCTGAGCCATAGATTGGGAAACCCTGATCTAGACAGTGCTTGGTCCTGCCGTGAGGACAGGGGACTGGACTTGATGACCTCTTGAGGTCCCTTCCAGTTTTAGCGTTCTAGGTTCTACGATTCTCCCTGAGCTTGGAGATTGCTAACTGACATTGCCCTGGGATGCTTCTGTCCCCTATCTCTGTCCCAGGTGGGAGGCAGTCCAAATACGCCATCAATGCCTTTGAGGTCTTCGACACAGAGACCAGGTCGTGGACCAAGTTCCCCAGCATCCCCTGCAAAAGGGCCTTCTCCAGCTTCGTGCCCACGGAGAACAACCTCTTCAGCATCGGGGGGCTGCGGCAGGGCAGGCTGTACCGGCAGCCCAAGTTCATGAAGACCGTGGATGTGTTTGACATTGAGCAAGGTGGGTGCCCGTCATGCGCAAAGCTGGCAGGCGAGGTGCATGCGTGATACCAAGGGCTACATCATTCTAACTCTGCCAAAGCCTCACATCCAGCAGATAGAGGCAAGCCCAGGCGTGGGGGATACTCAGAAGGATCTACAGCTCCTGTTGGCTTTGCTGGGAGTTGAGGAGTTCTGCATCTCCCGATGAGGCCATCAGCAGTAACAAAGTGAACCAGCTGCATGGCCTGCGGGTTGCAAACCCATTGCCCAGGCAGATGGCTCCAGCCCCCCCTCGTTCTTGGATTCTGCCCTCCGCTCTGACATAGGCTTATCCAACCCAGGCGCTGCCAAGAAAACAGGCTTTTTGGAGTGTGGTGAGGCCAGCAGGGTTTGGTTGAGTTGGGCTGTGCCTGTTTCACACAAGGCAGAGCTGCATGGAGCACAGCAGGGGTTGCTGACATAGTGTGAAATGCAGGAGTGTTGCTTGGCAAGGGAGGGATGTTGATGCCAGGGGCATAGCCAGACCGGGACAGTGGCATGGGCCCTGACTTCGGTGGGTGGGAGGTAGCAGGGATGGGGCCACCTCTCCCTCTCCCTCTCCCCAGCTTGCCTTGGAAGAAGGGGGGGAATAGATGCTCTGGGCAGGGGCCCCATAAAACTGGGAGCCCGTGGGGAGCCGGGCTGGGGCCCAGAGGTTTGCAAGCTGCCTACTCCATTCCCCGTCAGGAGTGCCAGGTGAGCAGAGCAGAGCAGTACTGGCACTCCGTCAGTGGCAGAGGTGAAGGTCGGGGGGGGGGGGTCTGTATGCTATGTGAGTGGGGCCCCAGCCCACCCATGGCTACGCCCCTGGTTCATGCCAGCTTTCTGGAGATGGGTGCACACTGTCAAATCTAGGTCCGGATTTTGCAGGCCCCACAGTTTGGATCCAGAGTTGGGTTTGGCCGGTTGTGGTCATATGGCAAACTCAGAACCCTCTTCTGAGCTCCAATTGCAAACACCCAGTGTCTGCCCCTGTGGAGAGCTGGGATGTTGGCTCGGGTCCATCTCTAATTTCACCCCCTGGGCAGTTTGCACCTCCCCAGAGACCTTTGTCTGAGTTGGTGTCTGGGGTTTGAACAGACCCAACCATCTGGTGCGAAAGTCACCAACAAACCACTGACTTTCTGGTGAAATCGTGTGAGCCACGGCATCTAACACAGTTGGCCTGGCTGTCCTTTCTCCCTGCAGGCGGCTGGATGAAGATGGAGCGCTCCTCCTTCCTGAAGAAAAGGCGAGCGGACTTTGTCGCTGGCTACTTGAAAGGCCGGGTCATCGTGGCTGGAGGACTAGGTGAGGGGAGCTAGAGAGGAAGGGTAACATTTCCAAAAGCACTGAAGTGACTTAGGTGCCTAAGTCCCATTTTTCACAGTAACCTAAGCACATCCGTGCCTAAATCCCATTATCTTGCAGCGAGCCCCAGAGAGATTTTCAAAGGCACGTTGATTTCCAATGGGAGTTAGGCATGGGACTGCCACCCAAAGCTGTGAAAATCTGCTTCACTTGGGCACTTGGGAAATCTCACCTCGGGTACATCTAGACTACAGGCTTTTGTCAACACATACTGTCAACAAAGAGCGTCTAGACTACATCCAGTTCTGTCGACAAAGCAAGCCACTTTGTCAACATGACAGTGTAGACGCAAAGGACAGTGTAGATGCAATTACGCCTTCTGTCGACAGAACTCTGTCAACAAAAGGCGTTATTCCTCGTAGAATGAGGTTTACAGCCATCGACAAAACTGCCGAGTTCTGTTGACGTTATGTAGGTAGTGTAGACGCAGGTATAGTTTTGTCGACAAAAGTCCATTTTTGTCGACAAAACCCTGTAGTCTAGACACACCCCTGAATTGGGAAAAGAAAACGTTCACTGGTCGCTACTGACCGGGAGTGGCAGCATTTGCGGCTGCCCGGCACAGAACACTGTAGTTGGTCTGACTCTGTGGCATGTTTGTTGCTCCTCCCACCTCCCCACCCCACGTTGGCTCTTTCAGGGAACCAGCCAACGGTGCTGGAATCGGCTGAAGCCTTCCACCCGGGGAAGAACAAATGGGAGAGCCTGCCGCCGATGCTGACCCCCCGCTGCGCCTGCTCCAGCATTGTGGTGAAGAACTGCCTGCTGGCCGTCGGCGGAGTGAACCAGGGCTTGAGCGACGCCGTGGAGGCGCTGTGCGTCTCTGACTCCTAGCCGGACTCTTCCCAATCCCCACCCCTGCAGGGGCCTGCCCGGAGGTCCTGGCAAGGAGGCAGTTGCGATCGGCCTGGCGTTCTTTGCACCCGCCTCCTCTGCTGCCCCATCACAGGACGTCCTAAGGAAGACAGGCAGCTCCCCCTTCCTTTAGTCACCCGCCTCTGTAGCTAGCACTGCTGTGAAACTGCTGAGCAACAGGGGCTGCTGATGCTCTGTTAGCCGGTGTCGGCACCTGGGCACATCACCCCTTTGTCTCCACCCCTCTCCGGGACCCAACCGGCCTCGGTCCGACGCCAGCCCTGAATTGCTGAAGAATGCACCCGCCTGGGACCGTGGGGCTGGAGGTCAACCAGCCTCGGAGCACTTTGGAAAGGGGGGGTCCTCTCTGTCCTCCTGAGAAGGTCCAGGTAGGGGCCTGGCTCAGACGCCCGCCCCATAGAGCTGGAACATGGTGCCCCCTGCCAGGGGGAAAGGACTCTTTCGATCAGGGCATGCAGGGGGGACGTTCTCCAACCCCCACTCAGCACTGCCGTACCCCCATGAAAACCTGTAGAGCCAGACAAGCAGGTGAGAGAAATCCCATTGATCCCATTGTTTGGGCAGAATGAAGCTTCCTGCTCTGAGTGACGTGACGCCTGCCAGGCGCCCAGGGTGCAAGACGCCCCTCCCTGCGTGGACTCCCTTGGCGAGCGACAGGGGGACTTACTAATCGTATAACCCACGTGGATGGTGCGCTCCCCCAGCCAGCGAGGCGCCAGTCCTATGCCTGGATGGACAGCGGCTCCACTGCCCATGAACGTTGCCGGCACTGCTGGGCGAGCTCTGAGAGATGGCGACCCGGGGACTGGCTGGGGGGCTATGTTCAGCAAACGGAGGACTGCAGTTAGCATAGAACAGTCAGACCTGTCCTGACCCAGAGACGGGGCCAAGCCGTAACAGGCAGCTCCAGTTCCAAGTCAGGATTTTAATGGGCTGTTCCGATCCGCGTCTCACAGCAAAACCTGGACCCCGAGCTCCTTTTGGAGTTCCAGCACCCTGTGAGTTTAGGGCAGAGGTGGGGAACCTCAGGCCGGAGGGCTGGATGTGGCCCCTGGCTTTCCTGGATCCGGCCCCTGAGGTTCAGCCCCCCTCCAGCATTGGGGAGCCCATGCTGCTGTTCCAGCCCCCCTGCTGTCCCACCATGGAGCTGGAGCCCACAAAATCTACTTCCATGAGCCCCTTTAGGCTCTGGGGTGGGAGGGGAACGTGGGGCCACGTCACTGAGGGTTTTTTGTGGGGGGGGGCATTTTTATTTTGGGGGGTTTGGGTTTTTTGTTTTTTGGAGGGGTGGTTTTTGTTTTTTTTATTTTGTTTTGTTTTTTTGTGGGGTTTGGGGTTTTTTGCTTTTCACTTGTGTGTGGGGCCCAACCCAAAAAAGGTTCCCTTTGGACCCACCTCTAGGTTCATGCATCCCGCAGAGAAGCCGGAATACCATTGCTGTCACTACTTCTTGATTTTGTTTAACTCGGTGTCTGTGCCTTGTGGCCAAATGCTCTTGGATGAGTAGGTTGCAATTCTTGATCATAGCAGCAGCACAATTAAAACCTGTATTCACAACTCAAACATTCTCTACCCGGAGACATTCTGTAGGTCCCTCCCTGCGATGGAGGGGTCTACAGAGCTGGGACATGCTCACCAAAGGGGAAGCCCGCCTGGGAAATTCTTCTCGTCGCTAGCATGCAGGCAGACTGACGGGTGTAGTGTGGACATTTCTTAATCAAGTCACTGGTCTTGGAGGAAGATGGGATTTACCAATGAAAATCCCTTCCCACCCTGGGCAGAAGAAGCCAGGCAAGGAATGGAGGAAGCTGCCTGGCAGCTTAGCCAGAGCCAATCACAAGTGAAAACAGACAAAGACCCTTTGGTGCAACAGTCTTGAGTTGCCGGCCTGTGCGCCATGTACAGCCCAAGCACTTGTGAAAAAGTGATTTACTCGGGCCTAGGGTTGCCAGGTGTCCGGTTTTCACCCGGACAGTCTGTTATTTCTGGCCTCTTTCCGGTTTAAAAAAAAACAACAAAAAACCCAATCTTCAATTTTTCTTGGACGGAAGGTACATTGTTCCCTTGTCGTGTCTGGTGTTGCCAGAGTGGAAGTGAGAGGAGTGCGGGAATTCTTAAAGGCACAGCAACCTGTGTGTGTGTGTGTGTTCCCCTGGGTGTGTGTGTGTGGGTTTTTTGTTTGTTTTTTTCTCAACCAAGTTTTTTTCCTGCCATGTTCGGCATTTTTGGTGAAAGCATCTGTCAAGCCTACTCAGGCCCTTGTGGCAGTGCACAGGGACGCCCACAGGCACATGGCTCCCAGCAGCACCCAGGCCCCAGTGCCCGAATAGTCCTGGCCACAGAGGGAGCCACTTGGTCCGGGAAGCCATGCTGGCTGCCTTCACAGTGATGTGAACTGTGCTGGCAAGGGAGCTGCCTGAGCTGAAGTGCTGTGGAGGCGGGATGAATGGGTTTTGCTTTCAATTACCCAAGGTGGAGATCCCAGTGCAAGGACATAGATGTTAGAGGCAGTGGGGAGGTTCTCTCAGTATGAGGACATAGGGGTGAGGACTTAATTTTATGATTTTTGTAGGATCCTGGTCTCTACCTGGATTCCCAGACACAGGTGGAGACACTATCAACCTGCATGTCCTGAACTACCAACCCCAAGTGTTCAAAACTCATCAATCAACGTGGGCTGTGCTTTCTGCAGGAGAATTCCTGCCCCAGAGTGCTCCTAGGAGGAGTATTTGCTGCAGATGGGTCCCAGCTGGGTCAATTCTGGCCACATGCCCTGCTTGCTAGGAGATGGGCAGTCCATGCTGCCCTGCTGACAACCCAATGGGGCCTGGCTCAGCCAGATAACCCCTGGGAACCTCACCAGCTCTGTAATGCAAACCCTGGCCGTGGACTCTTTGTAAGTGGGGCTCAGAGAGGGGTTTCCTTCATTTCTCCCCAAATACTCATCGCTTGGACGCCGGCCCCGCACCGGGGAGACACAGCGAGTCTGAGATGGTGCATCGGGAGCAGCAGATTGACTGCAGCTGGCCGGCTCCACAGAAGGTCCAGGAGTGAGGAGAGAGACAAAGAAAAGTCCCTTGTGGTGGGGGACAGGAATGAAAGCTCCAGTCGCTGCCAGGCGGGGGAGATCTGGGCCAGGGAGAGGAGCCGTTCTCAGTGACTCAACAGGTGAGTGGATCTCAGAAGCATGGGGTGTGATGGGCCAACACCGGCCTGCCTTTTGCTCTGCTCGCACGTGCCAGGTGGGAGCTGGGTGGGGTCGTGGGTGGTGGGTCGCACCCTGAAAGCCAGCGGCTGCGGAGTGGCCAAAATGCAACGATGGAACAGCCTGCAGAAATCAAGCGGGAAGAGGGGCCCTGCAAACCCACCCAGACGTGAGGACGGCGTTCTCAGACCCTCCAGTGAACATGGGCAGCAAGTTATATGGGCACCAGGAATATTCCTGGCCCAGGGCCTGGCTCCAGAAAAGGACTGTCCCCAGTAGCCTCCCCAGGAATTGAAATTGGGGGGGGAGGGGGTTTGAATTTACAAGGGGGGTGTCAGGGCTGATGAGGGGTGACACCATGAGGGTGAAGGTGGGCTGTATGGCACCATAGTTCACAAAACTGGGGGAGTGTTGGGGAAATTTGGGGGGGTATACAACCCCATGGGGGGGCATAGGGAAATCCCTGCCTGCAAATAAACTGCTGTCCGAGGAAGCAGGGCAACCAGAGCAAAAACTGCAGCAGCTTTGCTTTCCATCTAGGAGGTAGGCAAGCCAGAAGCAGGAGCAGAGCAATGGCTGTCCAGGGGGATCCCTTTAAGAACAGGTCTCTGCGTGTCTGTGTGTGTCCCCGCCCTGAGCATCCTGTGGGCAGCAGCGCGTGGAGACCAACGTGTCCTCTAATCTTTTCCACCCATGTGGGGATTTTTTCCATCCATGTGCAGAATTGTAATGTGCACTGAGGCATGTGTGAACACGCACCACAAGTAGAAACACACAACCTAGCTGGGGGCGCTCTGCTAATCAGCTGGGCAGCATTTGAATCTCTCCTGAGTGGCTGCACAAGCACCCACCTTAAAGGAACACTGACAGAGACCCCCCTGGTGCCACCTGCCTAGGAGCTGTTGCCAGAGGGGGATACTCCAAGTAAGTGCCATTCCCCCCCACCCCACTTCCTGCTCCCCCTTCCCAGAGCCTGCCCCCCCACCTTTCCTGCCCCATCCAGCCCCCAAACTCCCTGCCAGAGCCTGCACCCTTCACCCCCTCCTGCATCCACCCTCTGCCCCAGCCCAGCCTGAGCTCTGCACCTAAACTTCACCGCAGACCCCCTCCTGCACCCAACCCCCTCCCAAAGCCTTAGGCAGGTGGAGGGGGAGTTTGGGTGGAGGAGGGGGCACAGGCTCTGAGAGGTCTGGGCACCACCAACATTTCTGCAACCATGCCAGTGAGTTGCCTGCTAATCTCTGCCCCTGCCAAAGGAGCCAGGGCTGGCCTTGGTGTTGCTTTGCTGTGAAGCTTTGAGGACACCTAGTGGCTTTTTGGCTCATGGCATCTGGAATTCCCTAATGAGCTGTTTCTAAATCCAGGAGCCCTGTCCAGGGCGCTCTGCAGAGATGGGAGGCAGCTGGGACAAGCTAGGTGCATTGTAGCTGCACATAAATGGGAAGCCGTGGGGTGGCGAGCTCAGATGTGGTGGTGGGTTGTGCCGAGCTGTGGCCACGTCCGGGCCAGCCCTGCTCAGTGATACCCCGAGTGCATAGCACTGCAGAGGACTAGAAGGCGTTTCCCAGGCCTGAGCCAGTCGTTTTAGGTGACAAACCCAAGACTGCTCAGGGCATCTGCTATCCAGATCTGAATGCTGGAACTGGAGCCCTCTCTGGAAAGTCCCTGCAGAGGCAGTGGGAGAAAATCGTTCCGTCTCTTTGCATTTGCCACTGAGCCGTGAAATCGGTGACCTGTTTTGAAGTGCTGTCCCGCCAGCTGTAAGTCACCTTCCCCTCTGATCCCAGACGGCCACCTCTCCAGATGAAAGCAGGGGAGATATTTACTCTGCAGCTAGCAGCCGGGAGCTAATTAGTCACATCCCACCTGCTTGTCTCTGGCGAAACCCAACTGAGAGCAGCTTTGGCTTGTCTGCTCACATCCTGCCGCCGGCTCCCACTGGCTGTTGGGCAAAAGGGCTTCTAACTTCGGTTGTTTTCAGCAGAAGCTGGGAGCCTAAATGCCTTTGACGATCTAGGTCTAGGAGCCCACAACTCAACGTTGCCAAAGAGCAGCCTCTTAGAGAAGACAGCCTGGGCTGCTATGGGTTTGGTTCTGGCCCAATCCAGGGCGATGCGGAGTCCTGTTTGAGTACGGCGTGCTCCCCCCTCGTGTGGACAGTGGTCGGAGTTGGGAGGACTCGGTGCTCAATGGGATCGGGCCTTTCTGCAGGGAAGGGGCTAGGGAAAGCAAAATAATAACTGCAGTACGGCTGGGCTCACCTACCGCAGAGATGCAGTTTCCTCTGGGCCAGAAGCCAACGCGGCCCAGGAACACCGCACAGCCGCTGAAGACAAGAAGTGAAGGAGAAACCAGGTGAAGTGACAGCAACAACGTAAAGCAGCCAATTGCAGATGCAGGGGGAAAGGACTCTGGGGCTAACTCCACTCTTGCTAACACCACCAGAACTGGGACCCAGAAACTCAACCGCACCTCTTGGTCCCATGCAAGGGTGCTGGGCAGAGAGTCACAGTGAATCGCTTCTCTTTTTCCTGCAGGCCTCCCTTTCAAGTCGGGAGCAGGCCTGGCCCTGCTCAGCAAGGGTGAGATGATGGACTAGCGAGCTGGGCTGATGTGGCTGTGTTCACAGTTACTGTCCAAGC